CAAGGTTGTGCCAGCATGAGAGCAGGAGAAGGCGCCAGAAGGACCGAAGGGGGGAAGGGGGGCAAGGAATGAGGGGTTAAGAAAGCGTTGGCGCGCGCGGGCTTTTCAGTTCCAGCAATCTCTACTATGGGCTGTATGTTAACTCTCAATAAACTGATTTTCTTTTTGACTTGCTGAGTTCCAGAGAAGGTTTCTTTTTATTGGGGTTGAAAGCTGCAGTTCCTGACAGTATTTCTCCCTACAGTGTCATGTCATGCCAGATATCACAGTCCATACATTTAATAGCACCTTACATTGTGAGACTGAAATTTTCCACTTCATAATATATTACAATAAAATGTGATCATAATTATCCATGGAAAAATGTTGAGTATATGGTGATATTACTAGACTTCTAAATATATAATACTACCTAACTATACTTTTAGCTTAGTTAAGCTGGAAACATTTCTCAGCCTTGGTTCTTCAAAAAAGACACTTTCCCTATAATTTGAAATCTTCCAGTCATTCAGTAAATAGTTCTATAGGGAGCTAAGTTACTTGTAGGGAGAGATTCACTATTTTATGGATATTGGAGCCATTACACTACATTTAGGACAAAACCCAATTTAATTCATTGAAAATATACTGGACATTGAGGGAAAGATCTCTAGATCTTGAACTACATTTTCACAAAATGTGGGGAAGGGGGAGGTAACCTAAGTAGAAATAATAGCAACAGCAGCTTTGTAGCCACCAAACTGGTGTTTTCTAGAATAATATGCATAGTTTCGTTTCTGGTATTTCCACTTGGTAAAATGTTGTATCATGTATTTCTCTTATTTATGGTAGCCACCAAAGAATTGGGCTAACTCCACCAATGCCTGAGGTAATTTTTGGTTGTGTAAGATTTTGCAAATGTACAGTATATAGGTGGTCTGGGAATCAGCAAACTATCATCCATGTGAAGATATTTACCATTTGTGCACTTATTTACACTTGCATGAATGAAAAGTTAATGAAAAGTGAATTAATATGAAAAGTAATCTTACTTTCCTAACCATATGAATGTGGATAGGAATTTCATAAATTTTAGAGCCTGTTCCTGCCTATATCTGGAGAACATCACTACCCTTCCCTTTACAAATACAAATACTATTATATAAGAAGATTTTTCCAGCAAATGTCTGTTCTGTATCTCCTAATTACAATATTCTCCATCTTTGCATTGGGTAGGCACCCAAAGCACTTGTTCTAACTCTAGTAAAGCTTCCAATTTACATGTGTGGACTCTGTTGTTATGAGTCCCTTTGAGAATCACCATAGAAAACAGAGTCTTGAGAGGTTTTACGTCATATATTTACTGAGGAAAGTTTATTTATTTATCAAATTTGTACGGCCCCCCATTTCAAAAAAAAAGTGACCCTGGGAAGCATACAATAATCCAAATGATCCAAATGATCCAGATAAAGTTGATCAATGATTGCAGATGTCTAAAGTATACTATAAAAATATATAAGTAGTAATTAGCAATTGGAAAAAAAGAGAAGGGGACAACTAGAATGCTTTTATCTATGTTTTTTTCTTTATCCATTTTTGTTTCTTTTGCCTTTAAAAAAATCTTTTAAACCCCTTTTCATAATCATAATATTTTCATTTCAACCTTTGCTCTAACATAATGTTTATTTTATGCATCTATAAGTATTCTTTTTGCTTTTTGCTTTTTTTTTTTTACCTAATTAATAAAATAAAACTGGGAGAAAAAAGGAAATAATTATTATACAATACTTCAGCCACTCTGGTCTGCTACAAAAGTACAGCTGCATGAGAGTTGTAACAGATCCCAGCTGGAACCAGCAAATGCTCAGACACCATTATATATAAAAATGTTATATGCAGCCTCCTATCTCCTGCAAAATGGCACAGGTTCAGTTTAATTTAATTGTAGGACAAATGTATAGGTCAGTTGTGCTTATCCAAGCTGGCGCATTGCCCATCACTAATATAAAAATGGCAGAATTTCATTAGAACCGTATGAAATAGCTGAGAAAGTTCAGTTCTTCTCCCAGGCACAACACTAAGAATGTCAGGGAAAATAATGATTAGATTATATTTAGTTTTCTGGATTTTTTTTTTTCATTTCCTAATTTACCCGGTGAGAAGAAGCTTTTGTTACAGCATCGTAATTAGCTCATATAGTCCATTGTAAGCAGGAGAGGTACATCAGAGCTAGTACTGTCTTGCAATTAAGACCATTGCTTGACAGTCTGTGGCATTGCTCCATATGATCCACAACTCAACAATCCAATCCATGAGGCATAATCAAACCCCCTTGAAACCTGTGAAGAGCCAGGGGCTAGGAATCGGTACTATAGATGCCCAGGAGATACTGAACAATTTCTAAACTACTGCCACTTTTGGACATTTTGAATTCTTTAATCTGCTGTCATTACTTTATTGATTGGCCTTTTGATCCTGTGTGCTTACATTAAAACATGCTTTTATGCAGGGCTGTCCTCATAGGAGTCAACAAAGTCAAAATCGTAGCTGCAACTGCATGAATCAGACCTGCTTCTGCAACACACGTAAAAAAAGGGGTAAGATTTTGAGTGCACAGTTGTGACTGACATCCCTGCAGACACCCCTGCTTGTGGGTGCAATATTTACAATTACATAATCCAAGATTCGTCCCTGTTTGGGGCACACATGGAGTTTAGAACTCACAAGACTTGGATGATTTCAAAATGCATTAACCATCAACTTTCATTCTTAAAGAAAGCTTCTAATACAGTAAATACTTATCTTTACTCTTGGTGCATGCCTTAAATATTTGATTGAAATCTGACCTACAACTAAGTTCAGAGAGAATATTATTTTATTCACTTTATGCGTTCATTCATTCAATTTGTATGGCTGTCCATCTCAACAAGTGACTCTGGGCAGTGAACAATCTTAAAATACCACTAGAAGAGAACATATGCAGCTCAGGGTTGAACTGTGGAGTCCTTGGGGCTCTCTGAGATTGATTGTTTTCTTGCAGATGTTTCATTACCCATCTAGGCAACATCTTCAGTGCTAGAAGGGAGTGGGGTTTTCTCTCTGTTTTTATACAGTAGCTTGCCTTGTCAGTGTTGGTGGGGGAGTTGTTTTTTCCTTGTCAATTCCTAGATTAGGCTGTTTACTGCTTGACTGTTTGTCTGAGTTGGTAGTTCTGTGATTAGGATATTGCTAGGCAGGCCACAGCACATAAACAGAGAGCAAACCCCATCCCATTCCAGCACTGAAGATGTTACCTAGCCGGGTAATGAAACGTTTGCAAAAAAACAACCAAGCTCAGAGAACCCCATGGACTCCACAGTTCAATCCTGAGCTACACATATTCACCTCTGTTGATATTGTTTACTGCTTGAGCACCAGGTTTAGATTTTATCAGAAGGGTCTTTTTTTACTCTGTGTGTGTATGTGTGTGGTTTTTTTTCATCCACAGCCTCTTTCACTTCATCTTTCCACTAAGCTTTTTTTCCCCCTCCAATTCCATATCTCCACACATTTCTGTGGCACTTTGTGTTCTGCTTCAGGCTTCAGTCACACATGGCACACACACAATTTCTCAGGGAATTATCAGTTTACTACTAGATGAAGGGTTTACAATGAAACAAGGAATACAAACCAGCACAGGAATGTAAATGGAGCTGAGGCTTGCCTGCAAGGTTTGCTTTGAGAAAAGAAGCATGCCAAAGAATTGTTTAAAGCCAGTCCAAGGTTTCAGAGCTGGGTCAAGGTTGTCAGCCAGCCCAAAGGTCAGAGGTCCAAGAAGCAGAATCCATGCATGAATCTGACACATGAATCCATACTGGATGTCAGACATTGTTTCTAGCAAGAAGCTTATCTGAGAGCTGTTTCTTAAATAGAGCTGCAGTCAGTTGTCATTCATCAGATTGCTTACTTCTTTGCTTCATGAGTAACCTAATAGACTTTCGCTGATCTGCTGTCCTTTCTACTCAGCTTGTGTGGGGACTGGGAGGCCTCACGTCATCCTGACCTGACTCCAGCTGCTCAGGTGGTTTTGTGATTGATCAGCCTCATGTGATGTCTGGCTTTGTCCTTCCTGAGGCTGACATTCCACAGGCTCAGCTTCTGGAGCAACTTCCCCAGCTTCAGACTCAGAATCTGAGTTCAGAGCCAGGACCGTGACATTTTGCAACATAATCCTTTTCAGTCTATTCCATGCAGTTTTTACAGCCTCTTTCCTTACATTCACTTTCCATTCCATTGTCAGGCAGATCAATCTCTTGTAACACTTTTTTTTTAATTTAGAACTTATACTTTTTCTCCTTGTGTCATCTTACTTCCATTCTAGTTTCTTTCGCATTTCCTTTTCTTTCCTTTTGTTTTTTTTCCAAGTTCCATTCTCAACACTACCAAAAACTCTCATCATTCATTTATATTTTACTAATTCTGTCAATCTCTCATCATAAACAGTTAAAACAATCACATTTTAAATTTTTTCCTTTCCGTGGGTACATATCAATAGATTTAGCCTTAAACCATTTATTTGAAACAGATATTTTTATAAGCAAATATTCACCAATTTTCTCATTTTCTCTTGGGTCTCCAAATCATTTAATCAATTTTTCTGTTCTCTCTCATCTTGTACCCACTTATCACCCAACAGAATAATTTTCCTATCTGGGTCATGTTCATTCAAAAAGTTGCACACTTCCCCCCAAACTCATCCATTGTCATTATTTTATCACTATTCATTGGAATGTCCCCAAATTGACTATTACCAGCCTATAATTTCATACTTTCATACACATGCACATCAACCTACATGATACCAATTCATATCCCCTTTAATAAATCTCATGGAATCATGGTTTTCTCTTTTACTGATGTCATAAACAGATATTATTTCTAAAGCATCCAGTCAGCCAATGGGAAGAAAAGGCTAAATGAGCTAGGAACCGTGCAGTTAGTAGACAAGCAGGTCAGCTGGCCAGCTCCTTGGAGCTTCTGAAATGTCTGGTGAGACTAAGACCACAGGGACCGAAAATTGTCCAGCTTTACGCTCACAGCAGCAGAGGCCGCAGAGATGCCATAGTGACAGGTTGCAACGTACAGAGGAATCGCGGAAGCGTCGAGCCAAGAGAAATGTGGGAGACCCAGACATTATAAAGTCTCCCAGTGACCATAAGGAATACAGGTAATTCAGGGCCTACAGTAGGGCAACTTGTTTTCTTCCAGAGCATCATCATCATCATCATTATTGTTGCTTTCCAAGGGCCACAGGACACATGACTAATATCACTTTGGAGTGAGGGGCTGAAAGTTTCAGCAATTATTGTTGGTTGTACAGTCAGACAGATGTTTTTACTAGATTTGGCATTTTTATGCATGCATTGAGTCTTTCCCAAGGACCTAGGATAAGCAGATGTTGTTGTTTGATGGTGTTAAAGGTATTGTCACAGGATGTAAGCTGTTCCAAGTAAAGCTGC